CCCCCGCACCTGTACCCTCAGTTGGACTGGTCCATTGCTACACTGTTAACAAAGGAGGGGAAGGCGAAGGGCTGCAGGTTCTGAAGGTCTGTTTGTAGGAGGGAAGGTGCTTAAGTAACCACGCCCCCTAGGTGTGGCCTTATCCCAGCAGGGTCTTTCCTCAGAGAGGGCAAAAGCAATAGTGAGCTGATACCCGGCTGCTGTCTGACCCAGACTTCTCTCAGAGCCTGTCTTCTCCTTTCGACCAATTTGAGCTTGGAAAGCAGTTCTCATTCTCCCATGTGGGGCTCTGGAGGGCAGGGTGCCGTTTACTCCAGACTAGTCAGAGAGCAGCAGAGAGGAGTCAACTGGAGCCAGGAAATCTAGAGTCTTCTAGACCCTTACATGAGTGCAAGCCTTCTTCCTTTGCTGGTTTGCCTCTCCTTGCTATCCCGAGTATGCTCATTGGGGTGGGGGTGAACTTTGCTGGCCTCTGAGGCACCGTTGTGCCATTAGAAAAAGGCCCCTTTTAGGCAGATGCAGTACCATGAGCCCAGAGGATGGGGAGCACAAGACACCTTTGTACTAAGAAAAAGGCTCCCCTTCTTCCTGACAGACGACGCAGCCAGTGCTGAGAGGCAAGGCCTAGCCAGGGGTGGGGTGGGGTGGGGTGGGGTTGTATTTCAGCCCCCACTTGTCCCCTCAGCTCGACACCTTTTGGTGTTGCACAACTTGAACCATTTGAGTGTTGTCCTTGCTGCTCTGCTTTTGAGCATGCCATTCTACCTCTGGAGCGCTGTCGCTCTGGCTAGATTAACTGATGCTGCCCCACCCTTTGAGATCCAGTTCAGGCTCCCCCAGCTCACAATCACCTCTACCTTCTGTGCCTTCCTGTGGTACTTTGAGTCTATAGGCATTGATTACCCTGGAAATGATGGGGTCTCTAGAGCAGTGTTTCCCAACTGAGGGGGACAGTGAACTTCTGGGGGCATTGGGCAGTGTCTGGAGATATTTTTAGTTGTCCCATCTGGGGCATGGAGTCTGCTGTTGGCATCTATTAGGAAGAGGCTGCCAATGTCCAAAGCACATGGCAAAACAAAACAAACAAAACCTAAAAAACCCAAAAAAATGAAGCACAGGGCTGTCCACCAACACACCAATACAGCCACCACAAAGAATTATCTGGTTCCAAATGTCACTCATGCCGAGGTTGATTCTGGGCTAAAATTCTAGTCTTCAAAACACTTTCTTATCTACCTTAAATTACATTTGTGTGTATGTGTGTGTGTGTGTGTGTGTGTGTGTGTGTATACATTTGTGTTTTAATGGGTCAGTGTTAATTCTTCAACCAGATGGTGACTTCTTCGAGGCCAGATCGTGTGTCTTGCAGGTCTCTAAACCTGAGGGCCCTTTAAGCACCACATGCCCCAGTGTTTATGGACACTCAGGAAAGATGTAGAAAAAGGATGGACAGACATTCTCTGGCATGCCCCTCTCAAGACAGTTCTCAGGAGCTTCTTTGGGAATTTCCTGCCAACTTGACTCTATGACATCCGATCTTTAAAAAATAAAAGTCAGGAGAGCCCAGCAGACCCAGAATTCCTTGGTACGACTCACGGAACCACCCCTGCCTCAGTCAGTGCCTCACTACGTGTCCAACTCCTTGGGCTCAGCTGAGAAGAGAGAAGACCTGGATGAGAGGAACCACTGCTCTTCAAGGTTACTGGCAGCCACGTGTCAGCCTTCTCATTAGCCCCGAGCAAGAAATCTATAAATCGTTCTCAAATCTGTAAATGTGGCCTGGGAAAACCTCACACCGTGATTCACTAGAAAGAAAAGCTTGGATAAGTTTCTCTCTTAATCACAGCACCTATCCTTGGTGGGGTCCCAGAACAAGAGGACAAAGGGAGGTCCACAAACCCTTTGTTCGAGTATGTTGCAACTATAAAGTGAACTAAAAACCTCCAGTGTTCTAGTCTCCTGTCTTGACAAATTAGTCTTCCTAATGGCCCGGAAGGTCAAGTTTGAATTTAGAATTCTCAGACTTCACATATTCCTTGCTGGAACTTGGTGGTTGTAAGGAGAGCAAGCTCCAGGCCCCCTTCCTACCTGCCGGCTGCCTACACTCAAAGCTAGGGGCCTGCCCTCCTCTCCTCTTACCCTCAATCCTGCATGCTCCTCCAAGGTAGGTGATTCCAGGCATCCAGCCTACATATCCAAGTTCCCCAGCCTCCCTACCAATGTCTACTCACTGGTAATTCACTCTTCCCTGGGGAGGATGAGGTGGGGAACAGGCTGTCAGGTCCTAGAAACAGGTTCTAAGTATTTGGGGGTAAGAAATTCCAGAGTTCTGTAGGCTCAGAGTAAGGTCTAGGAAGAAGAAAGTGTGCACATACACTGAGTCCCTTAGTTTCCTTATCCCATTGAGAAGGGCAAGGCAGGGGAAGCCGGAGCAAGGGCTTCTTAAAGCCTCTTAAAGTGCCAGCCCAGAGTAAAGTCTCTCTTGTCCAGTTCTAAGGCCAGCACTGCCTCCCAGAGTGGCAGCTGTCATGTGCCTGGGCTTTTGGAGGGTGACACCCTCGCTTTGCCACACCACACACAGACTGGGCAGGAACCTCAGAGCCTTGTTGCCTTGTTTTTATTTTATTTTATTTTGTATTTTTGTTTTGGTTTTAAATAGCTTTATTAAAAAATAATTCATCTGCAAAGTGCTTGTTCATTTCCTTTGACCCTTTACTGATTAAGTTTAGTGTTTTTTTGGTGTTAAGTTTTTTGGGTTCTTTATCTATCCTGGGAATTAATGTTCTGTCTGAGGTGAAGGTGGCAAAGATTTTCTCCCATTCTGTAGGCTCTCTCTTCACATTCTTGATTATTTCCTTTGCTGTGAAGAAGATTTTTAGTGTGATGTCATCCCATTTATTGATTCTTGATTTTACTTCTTGTGGTTTAGGAGTCTGATTGAGGAAATTGTTCCTGAGCTGACATGATGAGATTTGGGCCTTCTTTTTCTTCTAGTAGGCACAGGGTCTCTGTTCTAATGCCAAAGTCCTTGATTCACTTTGAGTTTCGTGCAGGGTGAGGTAAAGGGGTTCAAGTTCAATCTACTACATTTGGATTTCCAGTTTTCC